TTCTTGTTCATTTTTTACTTTTTCTTTATATTTTTAATTTTTATTTCTATATTTTTGATTTTTTTCTTTTATTTTTTATTTATTTTTTTGTATTTATTTTATATATGATATTACATTTCGAATCAATCTTCTTTTCTATTTTTCTTTTCTCATTTTATTTCATAATGGAGGACACAAAAATTCAACATCTATATATTTAATACGATGACATCAATTGTAGACATTTGAAAACAAAATTAATCATTTAAAATAGTAATTACCAAGTTTTTTTTTGTATTTTTGGTTGTTATTCTCTTTCATGTTTTTCACTAAAAATGATTCATTATCGACTAATTAGCAAGTCGCTTATCGATTTGCGTGTCATGAAAGGTCGTGACTAATTTTGTAAAAACTGGTCTATCCTCTTTTAAACCTCCTTATCGATTGTTTAATTTATTACATCGCAAATTTGGTTAATTAAGATAGATCATGCTTCAGATAATCGTCAAAACGATGTCTTGCCTGTTGCGAAAGAATTTTTGTTGTTTAATAGTAATTAGTTGTGAAATAACTTGTTGACAGTTTAGCGAGATTAAAAGTGGCGTGTTTCATGTCATTTCCGATTCTTAATTAAAAATTTTGGAAATATTGATTAAATTTACATTTGAATATATTGTTAAATATCTTATTCGCGATTGATTATTTAGGATATAATTTTTGTACTTTAAAAGAATATAAAAGAACTAACTTAATCTGAAAAAACTTAAAAAAATCTAAAAATCTTAGAAAATCTAGAAATTTAATATATATATATATATATATATAAAACAATATTAATATTAAAAAAGTAAAAATGATAAAAATTTAAAGATTTAAAAATATTTAAGAAACAAGTTAAAAACGAAAGCAAAAGAATTAGAATTATTTAAAAATGAAAATAAATGCAAAAATAAAAAATGTGAAAAACTTAAAAATTCTTAAAATGTTAAAAAGATAATTATGGTAAAATTTAAATGTATTAAAATAATTAGATATTCTTGAAAATTAAACAAAATAAAACAATTTAAGAAAAAATTTTAAAAATTGCTATAAAACCTAAAGATCCTAAAAAATTAAAAACATAACGAACGCAACGAAAAAAAATATTATTAAAAAATATTAAAAAAATCTAAAAGATTCAAAAATAAATATCTTTCTTTTAATTTAATATATATATCTCCAAATCAAATTTAAATTTCAATTTAACAATCCATTTGTCAATTTATGATAATTATTAAATTATAAATTCAGGATATTCAATCATCCTTTTTACTTAGTCACAAATTAAGAAATTTCATTGAACGTCATCGATAACGATAACTCATAACAATTTTTTTTGCTTATTTTTTTATATTTTTTTTTTCAGCTTTGGTTAAATACGCATGATTATTGAACCGTATATACGGATAAAGCGTAAAATAATCGTTGTAGTTTCCCTATTTTTGCAAGCGGAAGGCAATTATCGTTTTATAAAATTGCGATACCCGTTCGAAACTTTCTCATATAAAATAAACTTTGCTTTTGATCGTCGCTGTTCAATTGTGTTTGTTCTGTTCATATTTTATATAACAAGTTTTTTGATTGTTTTTTCATGCGTCTGACAATGTTTCTTTTATTTTTCATTTATGGAAACGAATTATTTTGATGTAAATAAAATATTTAAAAAACAAATGTGCAGAATAATTTGTTTGCATTGAATAACCAATTCAAATGGAAAATTTGTGGAAATTGGACTCAATTTGAGAGTGAATATTGGAATATAAATGGTTATTTGGAAAAAATATTTTAATATTATAATGAAATATTGTATATTGTATAGTTTATTTAATATTAAATTTATTATTCAAATGAAAAAAAAGTTAATAGGAAATCTGAGAAATGCTTAAAAAAGGATAAAATTTAAAAATTCTAAAAAAAATTAAAAATCTTAAAGAAATTGAAAAGTTAAAAAATTTAAAAAATCTGAAATCTGGTTTAAGAAATTAAAAAAGCTAAAAAACATCTAAAAGATTTAAAAAGATTAAAAAAAGAACTTTACAAATATTAAAAAATTTAAAAAACTTAAAAATCTGTCTCTGTCTCTATCTTTCTTTCTTGTTTCCTCTTTAAAAAATCCTTTTTAAAAAATTTCTTTACAAATAAATATATATATATTAGAAATTTAGAATATTTAAAAATAGAAAGCACGAAATAACTAAGAAAAATTACAAACAAATCTGAAGTACCGAAATATTTAAAAATAGCTTCAGAAAGATTAAATATAAAAATTCGTTGATACCAAATTCTTTATCGATATAAAACCATCTAATTCGAGAATCGTCGCGTATAAAATTTATCGCGGGTCGTTTCTAGGTTAAGAGAAATCGCGCGCAATCCGGTTAGAATTTAACTTTTCGTCGTCATGCAAAGACAATGATTTATTATCGTTCATGAGATTACATTGAACTACGGCTAATGTGACTATATTTGTCTCTTTAATTTAATTAGAAATCTCAAATAACATTATGATAATTAGACGTCTATATTTTCTTCTTGATTAGAACTTTTTTAAGAAATAATTTTGAAATAAGAAATATTTCTATATTTATATATTTTATTAATTATAAAATTTATATTGAAAATATTTATATTATATTTAATTATTTTTATATTTCTTTGAAATATAATAGATAAAAAAATAATATTAAAATATATTTTAATGCTAGCTTATATAATTATTATTTTAAAATATAATATGAATATTTTATTTATATATTATAAGAAAATAATACATCATACAAACAATGTTTTAATTTTAACATTATTACAATATAATATGTTGAAGTCATATTATTGTAACATAAAATATAAAAAAATTATTTATTTTGAATATCTAAGAAATAAAAAATAAAAGAAATAAAATAGAATATATAATCACTTTTGATGTTTATTGCATTTTAATGGAAAATAAATATTTTATTTATCAAATCTGATTATAAATAATAAAAATAAATTTGTTTATTATTTAGACATTGAAGTAGTAGTAGTAGTAGTATTTCCTTATGAAGATATTTCAGTTTTTTAATATTTATTTTGATTTATTTCATATTTTCTTCATTGATTTCATTATTATTGCACTGAAAAATTTCTTCAATAAGTGATGGAATCCTGGAAATTAATTATCTAAATTTTTAAAATAAATATAATGTATTTTCTTTCATCATAATTATTTTATTAAACATAGTAAGTTTAATAGTAGTTCAAAATATTTCTGTTATAGATTATTATGTTAGCATGAAAATCATTTTTCTACTATGTATTATTTAAAATTTATTGCTCTGTCATTGCATTCTTTATTGTTATACTAATATAGAAAGTTTTCAATCAAACAAATAATAATCATGTACTATGTAATAAACTGCATTTATTTTAATTAATTGACTATGGTCAATAGAACTTTATATTTATAAATTATTCAAAGATTATTATATTCTTATATCCTAAATTGCGCTAAGAATTGCAGGCATTTTAGTTTTCATTCGATTTCTATTTTTGATGTACAGAATCGATTTTCCAAATCTCATATTTCATAAAATTCTGTGTATTAATTCTCAAATTTGATCTGATGCTTTTTTCTAAAAATATTTATATTTAGGTACTTCTTACTAAAAATATTTATATTTAGGTAATTATAATTTTAAATATCTTATCTTGTATAATTATGATTTGTCTTATAACAATTATAAAATTCTTTCTTTAGAAAATTTTCGAGTGTAAATAGTGAAAAAATTTAGAAAAAATTTAAGAATAGAGATATTGATCTTTTTTTTTAATTTTGTTAAAATTCAGGCCTCATGATTTTAATTGATTTTAAATTTTATTACATTTCAAAAATTTTAAATTTCATATTTTTAAAATTTAAAACTTAAAATTTAAAATAAAATTTCTTTTTCAAATTTTATAAAAATTTAAAATAAGATTTTTTTGAAAATTCTTTAAAATTTAAATTTCCAAATTTTCTCAAAGTTTTCTAAAATTTTTAAGATTTAAAATTTTCCCAAATGTTTATTAAAATTCATATTTAAAACTTTTTTAACAAAAAAATTTTCGTTTCAAAAAGATTTAATTTATACTTATACTTATTTATACTTAATTTATACTTAAAAATATGTATGTGCATCATGAAAACAAAATTTGAAAATATTTGATTCAACATAGCAAGATTTCTAACGAGATTCTTTCCAATCTTTTTGATAAATAAGTTTTCCATCAAGAGTTTTCGAAAATTTTTCACGGCGATAAACTTGCTTTCCAATCGATGAGAAAATTTGTCGAGTGGAAATGATGCAATTGTTTGCGTACAGACGACACAGGTAACAGCGCAACGAATAAGGCTTCCGGTACTTCGGGCACACTGAAATCGATATTGCGATGGTTAACTGCGTATGCGAAATGTTCGCACGAAATGCACTCTGGAACCGGGTCGAAAATTACTGACACGAAACGGTCGATCTGTGTCGATGTTAGATAAATACGTCAGAAGGAAGAAGTTCTATGATTTAATTTATACCACATAATCTGATGTTTTGACGTATAAAAATTATTTTTCACGCATGTATGTAGATACTATTAACGCGTATTGATACTAAATTATATAAAAATAAATGATTAATTAATTTTAGAAATTAAAAAATTAAGCTATCATTTATTTGAATCGCTATTTAAATTATTTGTATTACTTGAGTTTTCAATTATTTCAATTTTCATTTAAATTATTCGATTTGCTAAACTTGTTATTATATGAAGTATTCGAAGCTTGATATTTTAATTATTTAGTATTATTTATTATTCTCGTGGGAAATTTGTATTAATTTTTATAGCTTTTTGAAAATGTGAAGTGCTCATGGAAACGAAATGGTTACTGTGTACAAATAGGTCTCTTCATAGGTTCTCTTAAAAGGAACTTTTAGCTATAGAAGTTTTTACCGTTCAAAGATTCATCAGATGTCGAGGCACTTTCAGGGTTATTTCCTGTGTGAGAAAGTTAAACTGAAACGTGAGAACTAGACTTTCACCTTTCATCTTCTTTTTACTTTTTTCTTTTTAATTTTCTATTTTTTATTTATTTATTTATTATAGGAACGTTTAAAATATTTAGATTGTAGGTTTTTTTTGGGATTGTAATTACTTTTTTTCAAACTAAACTATTAAATAATAATACTAAAATTTAAAATTTAAAATATTCAACAATTCTTTTCAAATTTTAAATTTTTGTTTTTTTTAAATTTTTGGGAAAGCATTTGAAACTTCAATTGATACTTGCTTAATTTTATTACAAATAAATTCAAATCTCAAGATTTTAACTTGATTTTGAAATCGAGTTGGTTTTATTGAATTTTACAAAAATTCAGGAAACTCCAAATTTTTCTAAAATTTTTTAAAATTTAAGAAAATTTAATTAATCTCTATCATAGAAATTATAAAATAAAATCCACAAAATTTTTAAAAAAATTCAAAATTTTTATATAAATATTACAAAAGTTGAAACATTTTTTAATACCCATAAAATCTAAAATATTTATTGAAGTGCGTCATTTCATAGATATTCATAGTGTTATTTAGAAAACAATATGCCACGCGACTAATCTGTGCGCGCCGTATCCCGCGCATCGAAAAGCAATCGTGGCTGTACGGCGCCTAAGTATCATTATTTTTTTCTATCGCTTGAAGCGATAACGGGTCGCCAATGATAACAGTCATCTTGGCCTAACCTCGGACGAATAAATGCTGGGACTTTGCGCCCGAGTAGCGCACAATCCACGCAATCGTTTCACAAATTCACGCTTCTTACACGCTCCTCTATCTACTTTTGCCACTTCATCTACGTCAATCCAGACGAATATAATCTCATTCATCATGAACTGGAGCTTTGAACCTGGAATTCGAATATAAACCAATCTTTGATAGCCTGAAATTGATTCATCAATCACATCCTCAAATTTTATTGAAATTAGCCATGAGTAAATGATTTAATTTGTGTATTAACTGAAGCAATTGAAATTGAACTGGAATGATTTTTTATAGAACTGAAATAGTATTACTGAAATAAGGATTTAAGAACTAAGGATTTAATGAATTTGGAAGAAGATTCAGTGAAAATTCTGTGAGTTTTTAAATTAAAAAATCTATAAGTATCAAGTTCATGTGGTATTTTTTATTAAAATGAAAAATGTGATTAATAAGAATTTTGTGAAATGATGTTTTGTTATGGGTGAATTAATTAAATAGTGAATTTAAGTTTAATTATCAATTGTTAATCAAATTGTGTTTTTTTATAAATTGAATTTTTGAAATATTGTTTGAAATATTGTGTAAAATAACAGTGTTGTTTGAGAACTGAAGAAACTTTTGCATTCAAAAGATTTTAATATAATATTTAATTATATATTTTAATATAATATATGTTGATTTTAAAAAAAAGACTTTAATTATCATTGATGAATATTCGAAAATCTTTAAAGATTCTTAGATTTAAATTCTGTTCTTATGAAAAATAAAATTAGAAATAATAAATTTAAATCCAATTATAAATTTTGGAATATTGTTGGTTAGTGTTTTTTAAATAAACTGGAAACATTTTTATATTTAAAAAATATCTTAATATAACTTAAATAGTGATTTTGTCATTGATTTGCAAAAGATAAAAGTTAAAAAGTTTTTAAAGATTCTAAGAAGACTTTATTAAAGAACTTTTATTAATCTATAGATGATGAATTTTATTTGTAAGTGCAACTGATTGAAATTATTTATAATCATAGATACCAGGAACTTGAAACTGCTGTTGTAAGCAGTTTTTTCAAAGTATTAACAAATTTTTATAAATGGAGATCTAAAAGTTGAAAAATAATGATATTAAATTAAAATTTCCTTAAACAAATCTGTTACAAGTATAAGTGCAATTAATAATCAGTAATTTTGTCGAAAAATATATTATCTATTAATATATTATAAAATACATAAAGACTGATTAAAAGTATCCACGTCAAAAGGAAAGTATTCAAAATCTTCTTCATCTAGACTCGTTCAGAGTATTTTTATTGGAAATTATAAAATACCGAAAGTATTAGAACATATCGTAGTATTATTTAATTGGTTCCTCTTCATCGACAATGTTGGATCGTAATGTGGTGATGGTTCTTCGAACCAGGCATGAGAGAACCGAGAGACGATTAAGGCACAAAAAGGAGGCGAATCCACCCCCCATGGAGCCACCTCCGCAACTGCTGAATAATAATTATCTGTACATCGATTTAAACATGAACTTCAGTGAGAATATTAAGCAACAGACTGCCAAAACAAGAAAGGTAGGCTTTTTCTTTGATTTTTGATATTTTGTTTCTTTATGTTTCAAAATTGTATTTTTTTTTTTTTTT